ATTCATTTTAGATAAAACCAAATAAACTTATGCTCGATGAAATCTGGAAAAATCATGAAATCAATGTAAACTTGCAGCACAATACAGCAAAAGTACTTAAATAGAGAATCCTATCTTTGCCGCAAAATATACTCTTATTAATAGACATATGAACTTTCTGATCGTTCGTTCAAGAAAATACACATTTTTTTCAGTTCTTTCTTGTTTATATGTTATAAGTTTGTATTAGAGATAATGGATATGGAGATATCATACTACAGAGTCTACAGACACAGACAGTGTGGATATAATCATTGTATGCCGTTAATGGACGGAAAAGGTTACTTAAAGTATTACATATTAGTAACGATAGAGATATTTCGTAAGAAATAAAATGTCAGCAGGCCGTGGTGCATTAATAGTTTTTGAAGGATGTGATAGAGCAGGAAAATCAACTCAAGCAAAAATGTTAATCGAGGCTTTGACTACATTAAAGCTTCCGGCGGAGTTACGAGTATTCCCTGGTAAACAGTAAATATATGATGTTTTTAATTACTTTTGTACATATAAAAGCAGTTTCAGTAATAGCAACAAAAGATTGGATTTTCGTTTATTTAATTTCGCTTGTAATCATGCATAACCCTACAGAAGTATAAAAGCTATATACATACGTGTATTATGTATAATTGAATAGAATTTTGTTAAAATATATGAATAGTAAGTGTTAATTCTAATTTCGAGACATTTAGAATCAAAACTGGGTTTGACTTTTTATATTTTTATTCGGCATGGAATATTGAACATTATTGTGGATGTAAAAGGGTATGAACTCAATTTTATGGTATAATTAATTATCCTTCATATGTCAAACCTAAAAAACATCACTATCTCAATTTTTAAAAGTATAATGTATTTCACTTGCATTGTCAAATATATATATAGCACAGATTTTCGATTTATATAGTACCATACATACTTAACTATCTTAAAAGTATATAAATAAATAAAATACTGTAATCAAATTTTATTCCTATTGATTATGTACAAATATAAATGGATCAAACTTATTGAGATATTTTTGTGCCGGCGCGTTGCTGGGGCTGGGATCTTAACCCTTTCGTTACGGGCGGGTTCTCCACCGCGGTACTTCCGCTGAACGGAGCGCCGCAACGTCACTGCAGTCTGCACGCCACTATAGATAGATAGATAGATAGATAGTAGATTCTTATTGGCCAAAAATTTCATATACAGCCATGTTACAATTGCAGGCCAATATAGTGGCCCGTAGCAGGGCTGGGATAATTTTTCCCGCACGGTTCGCTTCCCCTGTTTTTCGCCCGTATTTCGATCCCCACTACTATTCCCCTCATGCGCCTTCGCTGACCATGCCTAGCATACCCCCATCAAGTACCAGACCCCACCATGGTCGCGTCGTCCCCACTTCCCGGACGAGGGAAAAATTATCCCAGCCCTGGCCCGTAATGCCACAATGGCATCTTTTGGCGGGCCACTATAGTGGTCCTGAGTACCTCAGTGGCATCTTATGGAAGGCCACTATAGTGGCCCGTAGTTGCGAAAGGGTTAACACATCAGGAGCAAGGGCAACAGCAGGCGACAGGCTATAATAACTCTATGGCTCAAACAGACTCTTTATAAGTATCTCCTCGGTGCTATCAGGCAGTGATGGGCACAACGCGGCATTTTTTATAACAAGCCGTTTAAAAGCATGCGCGAGGGCGACGTCATAGCTGGGGATACCACGTGACCGCAAACCCGTGCATGCTGTTAAACTTTTGACAAAATTGGGCGCACTACGGAAGAACATTGTTCGTACGTTCAAATAAACAAAACAAATGATTATATCAAATAACATGCAGTCAGATAATGTAATGTTCAATTTTCAAAATTATTCTTAAAAAAATTTCTTAAATTCCAAGTCCGTTTTTACACTTAGGATCTAATGGTACCTTTAAATTGAAAACATAGGTACGGTACTAGGCTGCCACTAGTAAATTCTACTGCGCACGCCCCAAAAATCCCACGATGTGCCCATCACTATCACTGCCTTAGTGCCTTCAGGTCCATGATATATCCGCTGTATTGTATGTGATTGTATTATTGTATGCATTGTATAATGCGAAGAAGGCAATTATGGCGGACGCTGCAGCAAGACAATTACAATATGAATATAAAGCGGTTAGTATATTTTTTAATTCAAGAAAAATAATACAAATATATCTATATTGGTCACCTAATTTGATACATTATATTTCCGTGATTTTTTCGGTGTATTGTTCGTGTTATGTTGGATAGGTTAGGTTTACTTGTATTTACCGCTAATACTACAAGTAACAATTTTCATGAATTACTTCTATTTTATAAATAAATATACCTTTTTTCAGAATTCTAATCTTGTGTTACAAGCTGACGTACGATTGATAGAAAGACGCAGCAGAGATGAAGCGACTGGTGAGGTTATGTCACTTGTTGGCAAACTGGATGGAACGCGTATGGGTGACAGAGCACAACGTACTAAGCCAGGAAAAGCAGAGGAACGAAAAGTTAAGTAAGTAATACATTGTACAACATGTCTGAAATAACTCATTGCAAAATATTTGTTTATCAAAAATTCCTAACATTCTATGTTCATAGGCGTCAAAAGCGGGATGAAGCACAGTACGATTTTGCCCGAATGAAAGGTGCAACATTGCTTTCAGAAGGTGTAGATGAAATGGTAGGAATTGTTTATCGTCCTAAAACACAGGAGACACGACAAACTTACGAAGTATTGCTGAGTTTCATTCAAGAAGCCTTGGGAGATCAACCGAGAGATATTTTATGTGGTGCAGCAGATGAAGTACTAGCAGTTTTAAAAAATGATCGACTTAAAGAAAAAGAAAAGAAAAAAGAAACAGAATTATTGTTAGGTCCATTAGCTGAAGAACGATTTGCATTATTAGTTAATCTTGGGAAGAAAATAACAGACTTTGGAAGTGATGAGAAGACTACAACAAGTGAGGAAAATATTGATGAAACGTATGGAATAAATGTACAATTTGAAGAAAGTAGTGAAGAAGATGATGAAGATGTTTATGGAGAAGTCAGAGAAAATGATGATGAAGGTGATGAAGGTGAAGAAGCTAACGATGACAGAGCTATTCATGCTGAGAACCTAGGTGGTGCAGAAGAAATGAAAAAAGAGAAACCGTTACATCCTCTAGATATAGATGCATATTGGCTTCAAAGGAGATTGAGCAGGATATATGATGATGCAATGGTATCACAGGCGAGAGCTGCAGAAGTATTAGCAGTTTTGAAGGACGCTGGTGATGACAGAGACTGCGAGAACCAATTGGTACTTCTGTTGGGTTATGACTGTTTTGATTTCATCAAGCAACTCAAGAAGTATAGACACACAATTGCTTATTGTACTATGTTGGCCTCGTCGCAGTCTGAGTCAGAACGTCAAAAAATTCGAAATAAAATGAACGATGACCCCACATTAGCAAAGATTTTGCGACAATTAGATACTGGCAAAGGTGACGACGATGCTGATGAAACAATGGAAGCAAGAGCGCAACGTAAACGAAGAGAAGAAAATGAAGATACCGGAGGCCCTGGTGGTCAAGTTCAGGGCACGAGAAATTTAATCGATTTAGAAGATTTAGTATTTGCTCAGGGAAGTCATTTCATGGCGAATAAGCGTTGTCAGTTACCGGATGGTAGTTTTAGGAAACAACGTAAAGGGTACGAGGAGGTCCATGTACCTGCCTTGAAACCAAAGCCGTTTGCAGAAAGTGAGAAACTTCTTCCCATTGACCAACTACCAAAATATGTTCAACCGGCATTCGAAGGTTTCAAAACGTTGAACCGAATACAGAGTCGTTTGTATCAGGCCGCATTAGAAAGCGATGAAAATTTGTTACTCTGCGCTCCAACAGGCGCTGGTAAAACAAATGTTGCTCTTTTATGTATGATGCGTGAAATCGGAAAACATATAAACGCAGATGGTACAATCAATGCAGATGAATTTAAAATAATCTATGTCGCACCAATGCGATCATTGGTACAAGAAATGGTTGGCACTTTTAGTAAAAGATTATCCACGTACAACTTAACAGTGTCAGAATTAACTGGAGATCATCAGCTAACGAGGGAACAAATAGCTGCGACTCAAGTTATTGTCTGCACTCCTGAAAAATGGGATATTATCACGAGAAAGGGAGGAGAAAAAACTTTTACTTCATTAGTCAGATTGATTATTATCGATGAAATTCATTTACTACATGATGAGAGAGGACCTGTTTTAGAGGCTTTAGTCGCTAGAACGATTAGGAATATTGAAACGACGCAAGAAGATGTACGTCTGGTCGGTCTCTCGGCTACATTACCAAATTATCAAGATGTCGCTGCATTTTTGCGAATAAAACCCGAAACAGGCCTATTTTACTTTGACAACAGTTTTAGACCTGTCGCGCTGGAACAGCAGTATATAGGTGTGACAGAGAAGAAAGCATTGAAACGTTTTCAAGTAATGAACGAGATCGTATACGAGAAAACGATGGAACATGCTGGCAGAAATCAAGTTCTCGTTTTCGTGCATTCTCGTAAAGAAACTGGGAAAACAGCGCGTGCTATCAGGGATATGTGTTTGGAGAAAGATACCTTAGGACAATTCCTCAGGGAAGGATCAGCATCCATGGAAGTGTTAAGAACAGAAGCCGAACAAGTTAAAAATCAAGAACTCAAGGACCTGTTACCATACGGTTTTGCCATCCATCATGCGGGTATGACGAGAGTGGACAGAACGCTGGTCGAAGATCTTTTTGCGGATAGACACATACAAGTTTTAGTATCTACTGCAACTTTAGCGTGGGGTGTAAACTTACCAGCGCATACAGTTATTATAAAAGGTACGCAGGTTTATAATCCAGAAAAAGGTAGATGGGTCGAGTTAGGCGCCCTGGATGTGTTACAAATGTTAGGTAGGGCAGGTCGTCCACAATACGATACAAAAGGTGAAGGTATTCTTATCACAAACCACAGCGAACTGCAGTATTATTTGTCTCTTTTAAATCAACAATTACCTATTGAATCGCAGTTGATTAGTAAAATGTCAGATATGTTAAACGCAGAAATAGTGTTGGGTACGATACAAAATATCAGAGATGCGGTCACTTGGGTGGGATATACTTATTTGTACATTAGAATGCTTCGTTGTCCAAACTTGTATAGCATAAGCCACGATAAACTAAAAGAAGATCCATTACTCGAATTACATAGAGCGGATCTTATTCATTCGGCCGCGGTTGGACTAGATCGGAGCGGTTTAATAAAATATGATCGGAAATCGGGAAATTTCCAGGCCACAGAATTAGGCCGTATAGCATCGCATTATTATTGTACACATGAAACAATGTCTATATATAATCAATTGTTAAAGCGTACTTTAAGCGAGATCGAATTGTTTAGAGTATTTTCATTATCTAGTGAATTTAAACATATAAATGTTAGGGAAGAAGAGAAATTAGAATTACAGAAGTTGATGGAGAGAGTACCAATTCCAGTAAAAGAGAGTATAGAAGAAGCCAGTGCGAAAGTCAATGTACTTTTGCAGGCATACATTTCTCAATTGAAACTCGAAGGATTCGCTCTAATGTCTGACATGGTATTCGTTACTCAGTCCGCGTCGCGATTGATGAGAGCCATTTTCGAAATTGTTCTATTCCGTGGATGGGCACAGTTAGCGGATAAATGTTTATCCTTGTGCAAAATGATAGATCGTAGGATGTGGCAGTCAATGTCGCCTCTTAGGCAATTCAGAAAAATGCCGGAAGAAATTGTGAAGAAGATCGAGAAGAAAAATTTTCCTTGGGAGAGATTATATGATTTGGGACCGAATGAAATCGGTGAATTGATTCGAGTACCGAAATTAGGTAAAACTATCCATAAATATATTCATCAATTTCCAAAATTGGAATTGTCGACGCATATTCAACCGATCACGCGTTCTACTCTAAGGGTAGAATTAACTATCACACCAGATTTTCAGTGGGATGAGAAGATCCACGGAGCATCCGAAGCTTTTTGGATCCTAGTTGAAGATGTAGATTCCGAGGTGATACTTCATCATGAATACTTCTTACTCAAAGCTAAATACGCAACGGACGAACATTTGATCAAATTCTTCGTACCTGTATTTGAACCATTGCCACCGCAATATTTTTTACGCGTAGTATCCGACAGATGGATCGGTGCAGAGACTCAATTACCTGTTAGTTTTCGGCATCTGATTTTGCCAGAGAAGAATTTACCACCAACTGAATTGCTCGATTTGCAACCGCTTCCAATTACCGCCTTGCGTAACTTGAAATTCGAAAATCTTTACGCAGACAAATTTCCACAATTCAATCCAATTCAGACGCAAGTGTTTAACGCTGTTTATAATTCAGACGACAATGTATTCGTTGGAGCACCCACAGGTTCTGGCAAGACAACGATCGCTGAATTCGCTGTTTTACGTTTATTAACTCAAAACTCAGAAGGAAGATGCGTATACATGGTCAGTAAGGAAGCTTTAGCAGAATTGGTTTACATGGATTGGTCCACGAAATTCAACCAACAATTGGGTAGAAAAGTCGTTCTACTGACCGGTGAGACCGGAACGGATCTCAAATTACTCGCGAAGGGACAAATCATAATTACAACGGCGGATAAGTGGGACGTATTGTCACGAAGATGGAAACAAAGGAAAAATGTACAGAATATTCAACTTTTTATTGTAGATGAACTTCAGTTGATCGGTGGTGAAGAAGGGCCTGTGCTAGAAGTCGCTTGCTCGAGAGCGCGGTATATCTCTTCACAGTTGGAGAAACCAACCAGAATCATAGCATTGTCAGCATCATTAGCGGATGCGAAGGATGCTGCACAGTGGTTGGGCGCACCTGCTGCTGCAACATTTAATTTCCATCCATCTGTAAGACCTGTACCCCTCGAATTACACGTGCAAGGGATAAATATTACTCACAATGCCTCTAGATTAGCTGCTATGGCAAAACCAGTTTACAACGCGATACTCAGGCATGCCTCCCATAAGCCAGTTATCATTTTCGTTCCTACCCGTCGTCAAGCAAGATTAACAGCAATAGATTTGCTTACGTTTACTGCAGCCGAAGGTCAGGCATCTCGATTCTTTCACGCGGAAGAAGCTGATATTAAGCCATTCCTGGATAGAATGACGGATAAAACATTGAAAGAGACACTTTCGCAAGGTGTTGCTTATCTTCATGAGGGATTGTCCGTGGACGATCGACGTCTTGTCGAACAACTCTTCGATAGTGGTGCTATTCAAATAGCAGTGGCTACGAGAGATCTTTGTTGGGGTTTATCTATTAGCTCTCATCTTGTTGTTGTCATGGATACTCAGTGTTACAATGGGAAAACACATGCTTACGAGGATTACCCTATTACGGATGTTTTACAAATGGTAGCGCGAGCGAATCGTCCATTAGAAGATGATGATGCTAAATGTGTTCTACTTTGTCAGAGCTCAAAGAAGGACTTCTTCAAGAAATTTCTGAACGAGCCGTTACCCGTCGAAAGCCATTTGGATCACAGATTACACGATCATTTTAATGCCGAGATCGTTACTAAAACGATTGAGAATAAACAGGATGCTGTTGACTACCTCACGTGGACTTTCTTGTATAGGCGGCTTACGCAAAATCCGAATTATTACGGATTGCAAGGCGTAACTCACAGGCATTTATCAGATCATTTGTCCGAGTTAGTTGAGAGTACTTTGAGCGATTTGGAACAAGCGAAATGCGTCGCTGTAGAAGACGAGATGGATACTCTACCTCTGAACCTTGGAATGATCGCGGCGTACTATTATATCAATTACGCAACTATTGAATTGTTTAGTCTCTCCTTAAACAATAAAACAAAAATCAGAGGTTTACTGGAGATCATTTCGGCAGCTGCCGAATACGAAACTGTGCCCGTTCGGCAACGGGAAGAAAATTTGTTAAGGAGTTTGGCAGCGCGATTGCCGCACGCGCCTCAAGCACAGCGAATGGCAGATCCTCACGTGAAAGCGCAGCTCTTGCTACAAGCTCACTTGTCTAGGATACAGCTTGGTCCGGAACTTCAAAAAGATACGGAACTGGTGTTGAGCAAAGCCATCCGACTGATACAGGCTTGTGTTGATGTCCTTAGCTCGTCCGGTTGGTTGGCCCCCGCTGTCGCTGCTATGGAACTGGCGCAGATGGTTACTCAAGCAATGTGGTCAAAGGACTCTTATCTTAAACAGTTGCCACATTTCACAGCTGATACTATCAAACGTTGCACAGACAAGGGTGTGGAAACTGTCTTCGATGTAATGGAGTTGGAGGACGACGATAGAAATCGTCTTTTACAATTATCCGAGTCGCAAATGGCTGATGTAGCTAAGTTTTGTAATCGTTATCCTAATATAGAGATGTCTTATGAAGTTCAAGATAAAGATAAGTTACACAGCGGTGGAACTGTTAACGTTATTGTACAGCTTGAGAGGGAAGACGAAGTCACGGGCCCGGTCGTAGCACCGTTTTTCCCGCAAAAAAGAGAGGAAGGATGGTGGGTTGTTATCGGAGATCCGAAAACCAACTCCTTGCTGTCTATTAAGAGATTAACGCTACAGCAAAAGGCGAAAGTGAAACTCGATTTTGTAGCGCCCGCTCCTGGACAGCATTCTTATACTTTGTATTTTATGAGCGATGCCTATTTAGGTTGTGACCAAGAGTATAAATTTACTATCAGTGTTGAAGAATATGAATCGGACGTTAGTTCAGGATCAGAATCAGATTAAAGAAGTAAAATACATTGTAATTGAATATCACACGTTCGTATATTAGTTTTTTATGAAGTATGAATTGGTATATCCAAGGATAAGAATGATATAACCCGATGACATGTGACAGAATACGGAGACTTCTTGAAAACTAGAATAATAAGTG